CAGGGCGGGGAGCGGAGGCCAAAGAGAGTCCCGTGCCGGGGCAGAGGGCGCCAGCGGCGTGCTGTGGGGAGGGGGCCGTCCTGGGGGCGGGGGCAGGCGGGGGGGTGGAGCCCCCGACGGGAGGCGGTACGAGCAGGGAAGAAGACGCTGAGGAGCCCGGGGGGCCGGGTGCATGGAGGACGAGGTGCTGGGAGAAGGGAGGGGGGTGTGTGGGTCCCGCGACGGGCCTCGTGGGCTTGGCTCCTTGAGGTTCGGCTTTGGGACAGAACCTTGCTGGGACGCTCACAGGCCCGGGAAGGGGATAGGGAGGTGAACTGGACTGTGGAGGGGGCCCTCCACGACGGGGTCCCGCCGAGAGGAAGGCTGGGCCAGAGAGACGTCCGGGGCAAGGCTGGGAGGAGCCGGCCGCACCTCGGCTGGGGATTTCGTGTTATGGAGGTGCAGGAGATCGTTGTACTGAGATGTGCTTGAGGGAAAAGGTGGGAGGGAAGCGCATTGCAAACGCGGGAGGCCAACAGCACAGGCCAATGGGGGTGCCCTTCTATTTCTCTCACACCTTCTCCCTCCTACAGTGGAAGCACTATGTTTTTGTTTTATTGTTTTGAAATTTTCAATGTTTGCTGATCGAAACTGTTGATGTGGTGATACTTATTCTTGGTGTCTCCTAGAATAGACAGTAAGAACAAGCTTCCCTTGGCGAGTATGAGTCTAGCCCAGGGTTCAGAGGCTCACACTAGAGTGTGAGGAGAAGGCCCGGGAACTTCATGCCATAGCATTAATACTCTCAAGGCAGTTTAGAGGTCGTCCCTGTGGCACAGAGGTTATAGTTGCAAAAATCTTTGTGGAGACTTTTGGGGATGCAGTTGTAGGTTAGCGTTACACTAATCAGTGTACCGTTAACATGGTTCTTTCAACTTAGAAGGCTATCTCAAAAGCACTCTGGTGAAACGTTTTATGGGAAAATAAACAGAGGATGAATTTCGGGTTGGGAGTGGATTAGGTGGATAATAAAATTCCAAGGTTGGAAGGGACTTTAAAGGTCTTCTAGTTCTTTGTTTATCTGCCCTATCCTTGAGTGTTGGAATTGAGGGAGCTTTATTATGTGTGTGTGGGGGGGTGGTAAGTGGCATAATAGAGGATGTTTGGAGCAGAGTTTAGGGTACTCTAATTGGATGATGTCACCTCACCACGTGGTAGTAAAGATGACAGTATGTAGGAAAGAAATTTGGGCAATTCCACTGGGGATCACCCAGGGGCTCCAAATAGAAGCAAAAGGTTGGGGAGGAACCTGTGAAATTCTGATGGAGAAGCAGTTAGTAGGAAAGACGGGGGGAGCTGGGAAAAAACAGGGGTCTTGGTAAGTCAAGAGAACCTGAGGGTTGACATGGCCATCTTGACTAAGTCATTAGGATATTGCTAGGCACACATCTTTTGATAGGGCAATTGAGGCAACTGCCTGTGGGATAGATGTGGGGAAGAAGAGGCTCGGGTCTTTGGGCATAGAGGTTTACTAAAATTGACTTTAAGAGGGCTTGCCCTGTTACCAGCTTTGCAGCCAAGGGTAGGTAGGTTTCTTTTCATTCTGGTTCTGAGAAGACCAGGATTTGGGAAGTCACTGATGGAGAGAGAGGAGAGAATGCTGATGTCTAGATTAAGGAGGATTGATACTTTGGACTAGGCCAAATAAAGAAGGGATGGTAAATTGTTGGTATATGGCAGAGAAAAGCTAAGGCCCTGGGAAGCTCTGCTGTTGGAGTGTGGATTGGACAGAGTGCAGGGGAGTTCCAGAAGAAGTGGTGGCTACACCAAGAGCACCCAAGTGGATCTGAGTATTTTGGTTTGTCCTGAAAGGGTAGGGAGAGTGAGAGGATCCCATTCTTTCTCAGTGGCATAGACTTTCTTGGAAGCAAAGGGCAAAGGGGGTTACTTTTGAGGTCTCTGTTTGATTCATGATACAGTTCACTAAATAGAAAAATGTTTGATACACATGGCAGAGATTCTGTTGATATGATTAGTCTGGATTAAGGGTTGGGAGGCATCTTTGAGAGAAGCATAATTATGGAAGAAAAACACTAGAAAGGAGGAAGGCAAAAAGAAGTCAAGAAGAGGGTTGGTTGGGCAGTGAAGAGGGAAAGAAGATGGTCATCATGGTAAGGCCAACTAAAAAAAGTAGAACCTTGAAATCTTCAGGATGTTTTTCAAAGTAAAGTTTGAAGAACCCTGAAGGCTTATTGCACTTTTATGCTAGAATCACTAAATTTGGGGCAAGAGAGAAGGAAGATCTTGGGTAAAACTAGGGTTAGGGGAAATTGGCATTTTGAAACAAATAAAAATACATTAACCTACAAAGGAATAGAGAACTTAGTATGTAGGATAAAAATGCATAGTGCCAAAGAAGAAAAGAAAGAAAAAAGAGCCAAAGGAGGAAGACACCCAGATGTCTTTTGAAGCTGGTATTGAGGAATGGAAAAATTTGTCATTGATAGACACTAGTCTGGGAGA